AGCTACTCAACATTTTTGTGTCCCATTTTCCTCATCATCTTGTAGTTGAATCATGGTGACGACTTCATGAGGATTTTTATGAGGATTAAGTGTGTGGACACATGTCAATGGCTTAGAGTAGTGGCTGGTATTAAATAAGAGCCTCAAAAATGTGAGCATGTGTGTGTGTGTGTGTGTCTATGTGTGTAGATTTCACCATGTGGGAATAATTGCTAGTGTTTATATACAGGCACACGTGTACGCGTACACACACACACTGATATTTTAATCATGTGAGTGAAAATTTAGGAGGGCTAAAAGTGGAAGAGAAAAAATAAATAAGGGCCAAAATAAAACATAAAGACAAATAAATGATCTGAGAGAAAGTCAGAGCAAGGGGAAGGGACAGTGTCTTTCTTTATCAGAGAAGAAACTTTCATTTCAGAAGTGTTTGGATTCCCCAGAGCTAAGGTTCACCTTATAAGAAATAGTTAACTGTGGACGTTGAGGGTATTATGCTAAGTGAAATAAATAAGTCAGATGGAGAAAGACAATTACCATATCACATCACTTCACTTCACAAGATTAACAAACATGGTGGAGATTAACAGATTAACAGATACTGTGGAGACCAGATTGGTGGTTACCAGAGGGGAAGGGGGTGAGGGGAGGGGTAAAGGGGCACATGTGTACGGTGACCGATGGCAACCAGAGTTTTGGTGGTGAACATGATGCAGTCTATATAGAAGTTGAAATATAACGATATACACCTGAAATTTATATAGTGTTATAAAACAATGTGACCTCATTAAATAAAGAAAAAGTTAACTTTCTAAATTAATATACGGATTTGTAATGATGCCTTTAAGCTAATCTTCTTGGCTACGTATTATTTGGAAATAGATTCAACTTTAAAGACTCACAATTTGCCCCAAACCCAAGTGACCAACAAAACAGAAAAGAAATCTGCTTCATTGTTGAGACTTTCCCTCTTAATTAAAATAAAGAAAATCTCGCTTCTATTACAACCAGAACATTAAAATGAAATTGTTTGCAGGACAGGCAGTGAAAATAAAATATATTTTAAAGAAGTCTTTGTACTTTTGGGAGAATCAAAGTTACCACTGGAGAGAAACATTCCTGGTCTTAAAAATATTTGTCATGCTGACACACAATTAGCACCGGGGCTCATGTCCTCTGTTTTATAGTTGTTGGCTAATTTTGGAAACTGGCAAGCTGCACAGAAATAGATGGTGTGCTCTTGCTTCAACACTTCCTAAAAAAAGAACTGTTTGCATGGTTTGGGAATGGGAAGGGATAGGAGATGACGAGGAAGTGTGCTATTTCAGACAGCTGATAAAAGCTGGCACCACTCTGTGCACTGATGAATGTTCTACACGTTTAAAATTAAAGTTGTTTTTTAAGGATTGCTAAATAATCTACAAAAACTGTATATAATACACAAGGGACATTTGTCTGCTTTTGCAAGGTACTTTTCTGGTTTTTTCCTTTGATAAAATAATTTTATAGCACAACTTCAAATTTGCAGAGGGCTGTCTTGTTTGTTTGCATTGTTGATTGATCCAACAATTCTCGATCAAAGGGCGTGTTATTATTACATTCTGGGACGTAGAGACCCCAAGCACAAGGCAGAAGGAATAGGAATAGGTTCACAGCAAAATTGAGGAAAAGGTACAGAGATTTCCCGTATGTCTTCTGACCCCACACATGTACAGCCTCCCCATTATCAACATCCCCCACAAGAGTGGTGCCTTTGTTATAATCAGTGAACCGGCACTGACACAGTGTTATCACCAAAGTCCACAGCTGACATTAGGGTTCGCTCTTGGCATTGTACATCCTATGGATTTGGACAAATGTGTAATGACCTGTATCCCTTATTGTGGTACCACACAGAGTAGTTTCACAGCCCTAAAAATTTTCAATATGTCACCCTCTTTAAGTTCTTTTAATTGAGTTATGAAGCATTATTTAGATGAAGCATAGCATAGTATGCTAAATTTATTTTCCTCAAGGATTTCTTGGCAAAAGGTGTAAATTCACGTAAACTTGAATAATTCAGATCAGTTGTTGGCAATAGTAAGTGGGTAAAATGAACAGGTCATCATTTAAAAGCTCTGGTGTTTCGCTAATTTCGAAAATGGCGATTGGTTGGTGAGTCCTGGCTGCATTGTTGCCGTCAGATACAGAGATTCTTTATATGGTTTTTTAATCGTGGAGCTACATGCTCCAATGGAATCTTCAGGTTTTTAGTTAACATCTTGTAATTTAAACTTTGTTCATCCATTCATTCACGTTCGCCAAAAATTACTTTTCCTATAAAGCAATACCTGTAAGTAAATTTTTGAGGACACAGTTGTGTAAAACATAACTTTCTCCTGCTAGTACTTACGATGTGGAGAGCATAACTTTTTCCCAGTATTTGTCTTTTGCTCTAAAGGTAAGGCCAACACCTTGAGTGTGTGGGTTTCCCAAACGGAGTTCTATATTGTCTTTCATGCACAAATCACACCCATAATTTACCATTAGGAATTTCTAGTTTATTTTTAAGAGGAACAAGAACTTAAAGATGCTTGTGGAAATCTTGTCTCCCCCCGGCCATATTTATCGTTGTCTTGCCCCCAGACCTAATTCAGCATCAAGTTTCTTTAGCCACTTGTTGTTTTTAATCTTTGCAAAGAATCCAACTTAGTTTTCCTAGAAACAAGAACTTTTCCATACTCCTAGTTCATTGGTTTTATATCATGTTTAATTAAATTTAAAAACTAGAATGAGTGTCACTAACATAAACGTTTTGGGGAACAAACACAACATAGACTTGGTAAGCATGCAAACTTAGGCAACAGAAGCTAAAGTGAAACAGGCATTCTTGAGAGGGCTCAGTCACTATGTTTCTCCACGAGAATGGAGAATGTGGATTAATCCAGTAATAAAACAGAGGTCCATTGTAGACATTTGCCTTCTATTGCTCTATGGCAGTGGTTCTCCACTGAGGACAGTTTTGCCCCCAGGAGACATTTGGCAATGTCTGGAGACATTTTGATTGTCACAAATGGGAACGGGGCACACTACTGGCATCTATTGGGTAGGGGCCAGGGGTGCTGCTAAACGTCCTACAATGCATAGCACCACCCCCCACAACAAAGGATTTTCTGACTCAAGATGTCACTATATTGCCAAGGTTGAGAAATGCTACTCTACTGTGATTTAAATGGATTTATTATAATGTCTGTCTAGTATAGTTTTAAAAGATACCAGGGGGACTGATAATATTAAAATATGTATAACCTGGAAAGCAAAAATAAAGAGTTAAAAGATTAGAAAGAATAAAAGGTTATTATACCTTAACCCCTAGGATGCTGCTGTTACTATGAGCAAGCTCTAAACATAGACCCATCCCTCAAGGGCAACAAGATCACAAAAGTTCGTTAATTCATTCCTTACAAATTGAACAAGTATTTTTGGAGTACTCATATACGTTGGTCGCAAGTGGCAAAATGATAAATAATGAAATCAAGTTTAAAAGATATTTCTGTTGTGATGTTATAAAGAAAGACTAAAGGGAGGGAGCCTTCTCAGCTGGGGTACCCACAATTCCAGATTCTGTTTGGAAGGAGAAATTTCTTATGCAAGCACTAAATTCTCAGAAGAGATGAATACATGTGACAATGCCTTCAACTGTGGTTTTGCTGAGGGAATGGAAATATTCTCTCAAAAGCCAATTTCTGGAGCAATAAAAGCTGAAGGTTTCATATTGTGTGGTTATTTGGGAAAGAACATTTCTATAGAAGCTGAACTCATAATCACTGGTATTTTTAAGGCAGCATGGCTCTATGGGAACAAGTACATTCCAACAGTGCTCAGGTACTGTCAGAGACAATAGGTGGGAGGGAGTTCTAGAAGCTGGGAGGGTCAGAGAAACTTCATGGAGGAGGAAGTCGTTTATTTGGGTAAACAAGATGAGTAAAGACAGTGTAAATTTAAAGCTGAGATTCTTAACTGAAGGTTGACAAGTTAGCTCTAAGATGCTCATGAACCATCTACAATTGTGCACCACATTTTGTGTGTATATGCTTGTGTATATTGTTATTTTTTCTATGTAAGGTGTTCGCATCTTTACTCATATTCTTAAAGGGATTACATGATGTGAAGAAGATTACGCACTGCTATTCCTAAGAATTATATCTTTAATCCTTCCGTCTAAAGTTGAGCCCACCTCAGCTTTTAAAATATCCTAACGTTAAACCTCCATCTCTTCCTCCTCCTCCTTGCTCCCGGTTGCTTCCACGAGCACAGCTCTGATTGAAAGACAAGCTATTGCAATTAGGAAAAAGTTAGTTTTGAAACTTTTCTCAAGTCACTCTTATTAATACGCTATAGAGCCTTCAGTGAGTGACTTATCTTTTGTGCCATTTGAATTGTCATAGCATCTGCCTTCACCAATCCCAACTGGTAGGACATTATAACAAAGAAATGAAAATCAATATGCTACTGAAAGAATTGGATTTTGTGTTAAACGTGTTCCTTCATGAACCTCCGGTGACAGAGATCATCAACACGAAGACACATCCTCAAAGAAGTTTGTTCCTAGGTGATTCTCGGAAAGAGCACACAGGTGCTTTGTTTAACTGGAAAATAACTAAAAGGTGGATTGGGATTTTTTCCCCTCCCATTTTTCTTCTGTATGTTGTACAGTTTTAAATTTTAATGTTTTAAACACAGTTAAGTTCTACCACCAGAAAGCAGAGGTAGAGATTTTGCATGTGTGTAAAACTTCCTTTGACAGTAACCATTGAAATGTTTATGGCAATTAATCAGAAATGTGACTAGTCAATTTGAAATTTCTAAACAGCTGCATAGAAAGTGTCTTCTGCACACATAGATACTGTCATGACTTGGTGCATTATATTATGGTTTTATTAAACATATTTTTATAATTTGCCAAAGTAAGCTAATCATACTTATCTTCTTTTTCTCCTCCAGAGAGACAACCACAGAGTTAGCTGGAAGTCTACCAAGGTGAGCAGGCGAACCTTCCTTATTCTGTGCATGATTTCTGATTCACCCCGAAAGAAGTGCTGTGTCCTCTTGGAGAGGATTGTCAGATTTTAAGGCCTTGTATTTCACTCTGTCAATTCCAGAATCTGTGTATGAGCCACATAGGCTTGAGGTAGCCAAGAAGTAACGAGGGTGATGTCCATAGATGACTTAGGGAAACCATTCTCATTCTTCTGAAGTTATATCATGTCTTCGGAGATGTATATATGAGCCACATTCTTCACAGAAACCATAAACATGCTGCTTCCTTTATTATATTCACAGGAATTGGCAATCTAAAACCACATTAAATTGTTTGTTTCTTTAGGATATCCATGACGGTTATTGCATTCAAGGATTTGTAGATTTATGAGAGAATCCCCAGCTTTCTCTAAAGAACTTACATCATGGTTTTGATGATACTATAAATACATTTGTAGTTCTTATCACCATTTAAATAAATGCTTAATATTAATACTCCACCAGGAAAAGAAATCAAAATATAAATTGGTCAATGTATTTTATGTATTTTTGATATTTTATGTCATTATATGAAATAAGATATTAACAGGATGCAAATTATAGATGACAAGCCATCAAAATGATTGCCATTGTTTATTAGAGGAAAGAAAGGGAGTGGCAGTATTTTAAGAGAGATTTTAGTGGGCATTGCATAGAGCATCTAGCATCGTGCCCTAGTCTTTGGAGGTGCTCAATAACAAAAATGAATGAATGAATAGGCTGTGGGGTATTGCTGGCAAACTGTTGGAAATGGAAATCAGGAGACACTCAAGAACGAGAAAAAGAGAGGGAAGAAAATGTGATAATGAACAGAGGGGGAAAGTACATATCGTTACCATCTGTTACAGAAGATAAGCACATTTGGTTGCTTTTTTTAGGTAAAGAAAATCTTTGCTCATAGGATCATGACTAATATTGCCAAAAAACTGTTTACTGTGATCCAAATATTTAAATTACTATATGTCTTAATTCTTTGGCTAACGTCCCCAAGAAACATTTCAACTGTTTGCTGGTCTACAGGGCTAAAACCGTCCGTGTGTTCTGGTGTGTCCCCAGTGAGTTTGTTTATCATTCTGCCTTCACTCTGAAGAAAGTCCACTGTGAAGACCTAAGCATCCATTATTTTCAGGGAGAGAGAGAGTTGTGTATCTGCCCATGTTTGTGGTGAAGAAGTTAATCCCAAAATAATGGAATGAAGAATGACTTTCAAACTTTTCTAGAATGGCTAAGAAACGGACCACCCTCATATTGTCAGATGAGACCTACACGGAGCTGTAATCATGCAGATAAAAATCACTCAGTTGTCTGAGAAATCTGGAGCATACCCTGAATTCTATTAAGTAGCATTGTATCGTGAATACCAAGCAGCAGTTGCCACATTCACTGCGAAGGATCTTCTATTGCAGCTGGTTTATGACTCCAGGGAGAGTCCAATCTCTTCTGGAGTTTGGTGGGAGGTATTTTAGTAATGAGCCTACTTATTTTTTTTTTCATGAGTTTCTGTTATTCTAATGTTGCATCACGTTGAAAATAAACATGACAACAATCCCATTCGAACTGCAATTCGCAGTCATTGTAAAGCTTGGCAATTAGGTTGTGAGAAATAATATGTCAGTTCTTTCTCATTTATGCTTCTCATAGAGCCTCAGGTATATTTTTGACTTTCTTCAGGGCAGTTTGGGGCATATCCATTGACAATTATTTCCCTTCCGCACATTAACATGAAATAATATAATTATTTCATGATGAATACTTCTCTTGGCAGCCAGACTATTTCTTTTGCTAACGTTTGTTTGTTTGTTCAATCTTGTAGAATTCCATCCGTTGTTCAGCTTCCAGCCTTTCTTCAGATTTCTTCAGCCTGTCACTGGGAAAGTACAAATGAGCCCTGGAAAACCTTGATGCTATTTAGAACAAGGCACCTGTAGTTATTTTGTTTGTTTGTCAGCTAATGATTAGCGGAACATGATGCTTTGGGTTTTTTATCCTTTTAGTCCTAAAAGCATGCTTATGCTATGACATCTAGGAAAAATGGAATATTCTGTCAACTGCTAACTAGTGAGATGCGGCTGGGAACAAAGACAGCGGCATTTTATAGCAGTTTTATGATTTGGTTTTCCTTGGCTTTGACTGTCTTGAAATTTTCCAAAAGGCCATTTACAAATATCGCATAAAGGTGGAGTATTTCAGCTTTAATTGCCTTACATGGCATTAATTTAAAGGAGCTCACCACTAGTTGATAATATTCTGTGAAAATGTACAAATCCCATAGCGGTAGATTGTGCCTTGCTAGTTAAAAATGCTTTGAAATTGAAATGAGGTATGTGCACAAGGTGCTGGAACAGGCACCAGGTTTGTTTCTCATTGCTAATGATAACCTAAATGTGTTTTTGAATTCTTGCCATTGCTGAAATTAAATCCTAATAATAATATGTCACCAGAAAAAATTAGATTATATGAGGAACATGCACTAAGCATTGTAATTATATTATAAATATTAAAACCAATGATCTTGTTGGGATTAAAACAAATATTTAAGCTTGCTACACGTACTACTCATGCTGTCCTGTTTATCTTGAGGCGTCCTGGAAATGGGATGTATGGTTTCATTTCTAGAACCATGAAAATGATCGTTTTCAATCTTATGTATGATTCCTTGCTTTTATTTTGCTGTAGCAAAGGACAACTTAGCAATCTGGACAACTGCTTTTTTTTCCATTACAAGCATGTCTTTCAAGATCTTTTTTAATGATCGAGGGTGTTTAGTTTGGGTAGATGTGTTTTAATTAAATCATAGTAAGACCCCAATTGCTCAAACAGAGTAGAGGCACTAAATTAGTTATGATAAGCTGGGGTTTTAATATAAATGATGCCTATACAGAGATAACACTTGATTTTGGATAGCAGAGTAAAGGTATAAACAAGTTTTATATTAACAGAGGTTTTACTGTAATCGTGCACTATTAGTGGCTGTTTTTGAAAAAGAGAGCACTTTAATTCCTTGTTAGCATAGTCCACTGTTACTTGACATAAACTAAACAATATGGAAAATAAAGCGATTTAGTAGACCTTAACAGAGGTATCTTAAGTACTACTGTAGAGATTCACGAGCTGGTTCTTATAGCATAACACCCAAAAGTCAGGATGCTCTTTGGGGAATGTGAAGTATTGGTATATGAAGGTTAAAATAATTAAGTATATAAATCTGGTGCCTTCTTTTGCAAGACTCTAGCATAAACCCTGGAAGGCAGGGGCCAAAGGTTAAAGTCAATAATCAAAGAGCTGAACCTTTTTTCTTGTATTTTAACCCAATAACTTAATCTATTTCTATACGTCCTTTGAGGGGGTTAGGGAGCTCAAGTTTCATTCTAAGCAATGGAACCCCCAATTCCTAGAACACCACTGTGCACTGTAGCGTTATTGTTTGCAGACCTCCTACCAAGAACATAGAACTGCCTGGTTTGTGTGACTGTGGGAGATAAAAGTCATTACGTTGCAGTTTCACATATGGAATTTTGGTCTTAAGTTACTGAGCCTCGTTATCCGAAATTTGAAGCAAATAGATTTCATGTAGTGGAAGGGCAAGACAGAACTTTCTGACTGATCACATTTCTCAGTCATGGGGGTGACTGACCAGGAAGCAGCAAGAAGAAAAGGTGGAGGCAAAGAGAACCATGTGAGTTCTGCCACTCAACGCACCCCCTGTGGCTCTCGGGGGGTTTTAAGTCTGGTGTTCAGTGCGCTGTGGAGGGCTGTGGTAGGTAAGACAACCTCATCTTTCTCATTGTCCTCAATACAAAGTGCGATCTTCTGAAAGACCTTTAGAAATTAGCAGATAAAAATGTTGGTGATACCAAATGCAAAGGCAATAGGAGCAAAAATCAACAAGTGGGACTCCATCAAACTAAAAAGCTTGTGCACAGCAAAGGAAACCATCAATAAAATGAAAAGGAAACCTGCTGAATGGAAGAAAATACTTGCAAATCATATATCTGATAAAGGGTTCATATCCACAATATATATAAGGAGCTCATACAACTCAATAGCAAAAAAAAAACCCAATTAAAAAAATAAGCAGAGGACATGAATCAAGATTTTTCCAGAGAAGACATACAGATGGCCAGGAGGTACATGAGAAGGTACTTGCCATCAGTAATGATCAGGGAAATGCAAATCAAAACCACAATAAGACATCATCTCACATCTGTTAGAATGGCTATCATCAAAAAGATAAGAGATAACAAGTGTTGGCAAAGATGTGGAGAAAAGGGAACTCTTGTGCACTGGTTGTATAAAGGTAAATTAATGCAGCTATTATGGAAAACACGGAGGTTCTTCAAAAAATTGAAAATAGACCTACCATATGATCCAGGAATCCCACTTCTGGGCATATATACAAAGGAAATGAAAATAAGATATTGAAGAGATATCTGTACTCCCATGTTCATTGTAGTTTTATTCACAATAGTCAAGATATGGAAAGAACCTAAATGTCTGTCAACAGAAGAATGGGTAAAGAAGATGTGATATGCACACATGCATACTTACACACACACTGGAATATTATTCAACCATAGAAAAGAAGGAATTCTACCATTTGTGACAACACGGATGGACCTTAGGGGCATTATGCTAAGTGAAATAAGCCAGACAAAGAAAGACAAACACTGTATGGTATCACTTACGTGTGGAATCTAAAAAAAGAGGCAAACTCATAGAAACACAATAGAAATGTGGTTGCCGGGGGGTGTGGGTGGGGGAAATAGGAAAAAAAAATGTTGGTACTTCCAGGCCAAACTCTTACTAAGTAATCTAGAATTGATGATGATTTCCTGTCTTCTTTATAATTCCTATGAAAGAACAATTTTCCTGGGATCCAAGCCTGGTCCACATCAGTGTTTACAAAATCCATCATTTATTCATTGATTCAACAAAGGTGTAAGTACTAGCTGTATGCCAAG